GTTGTTTGGGGACCTGGGGGTGCTGGAGGGGACACACGGATGGTGGGGGCTCTGCGGCTGCTGCTGTGTTCCCTGGCTGTGGGGGGACCCTTGGCTCCTGGGGGTCTATGGCTGCAGGAGACTCCCTGGCTGCTGGGAACCCACCACCTCAGCCCCAGCTGCCCTCCCACAGCTGTCAGGCCGGGCTGGGGTGAGGAGGCAGGCTCAGAGCACCCCAGCCATCCCCAGCTGCTGGGGGAGGGAGGCTCCAGCCCCCAGCATCCGGCACCTGACGCAGATCTGGGGCAAATGATGCAGTTGTGGTGAGGAGCTCTCTGAGAGGGGACGGAACCGCCACCTCCGTGCCATGTGGAGGGGAAGGGCCCTGGGTGTCTGGGCAGTGCTGGCCAGCCTGGCTGTGCCCAGCTGGGGTAACCAAGGTGAGTCCCTGGGTCTCGGGTCGGTTGAGCACTCGCCGCAGTCCCTGGAGGGGTCTGGGGTGCTGGGAAGGAGCCCCACGGCTTGGTGGGGTTTTCGACCTGGATGTGAGGTTCCAAATGGCCATGGGGAAGAGAGGATCAGTGCAGTGAGGATGGGATTTCTGCCAGCTCTGCCTGCCCTAGACCATTGCTGTGACAGCCTGGAGCTGCCAGTGTTACTGTCTGTGACAACCCTGCCTTGCAACAACAGAGTCTGTTTTTTCCAGGTTTTTTTTTCGTTTCTTGTGGCCTGTCTGCTGCTCAGGGACAGCCTGACGTGGTGCTTCATCTCCACCAAGGAGCTCTGAGCTCCGCACCACTGTGAGGGTTGGTAACTCAGCGCTGAAGCTCTCTGCTCTCTCTTTTTGTTACAGGACATAAAATAACTGTGAAAGAAACCAGTGGGAAGGTGTTCCTGCAATGTACACTACCAGGTAAAGTTACATGGTGGAAAGATGGGAACGACCTTGGAAACCAAACTCAGCTGGAGCTGAGTGCGGTTTACGACGACCCCAGAGGCCTCTACACGTGTAAAGCAGGAGAGACAGAGGAGAAGCTGCAGGTGCACTATCGAAGTAAGTGCTGCACGCCTGCTGTCTGGAGCCAGAACTGCCTGGAGCTCCCACCCCAGCAAATTTTTGAGGGAACTGCTGGTTTCCCAGAGCCTGTGGGTGGCTCCACCAGTTTGCTGCAGATTCCCCTGTTCCTGGTGTCCCCGTGAGAGCCCTGCAGCCCCAGTTAGTGCCGTGACTGCCGCACTGCTGGCCTCTCCCTGACCCTGCGCTGAGTGCTGGGGGACACACGGCATCCTGTGCCACTGCCGCTGGGTCACACAGGGAGCCAAAGTCAATCCCAGGCCTCTCTTGGCCCGGGACTGGAGCCTGTCTGTGTCCTTTTGTGCTTGCAGTGTGCCAGAACTGCATCGAGGTGGACGCTGCCACCGTCTCGGGGATCGTGATCGCCGATGTCATCGCCACCATGCTGCTGGCAGTGGCCGTGTACTGCGTCACCGGCCACGACAGGGGACACATGTCACGAGGTGAGGGGGGACAGGGCCTGGGCACCCCCAGTGGCTGCTCCGTGGCACCCAGGGACTGCAGATGGGCTTGGTTTTAAAGTCACCACGCTGCCCGTGGCTCCCCTGATCCCTGAGCACCTTCCTTCTCCGTTTAGCCTCTGACAGGCAGAACCTGATTGCCAACGACCAGCTCTACCAGGTGAGTGTGGCTGAACACCTGTGTGTGTATGGGGTGACCCTCAGCACCCCTGTGGGGTGTGGGGGTGACCTTCAGCACCTCTGTGGGGTGTGGGCCCAGCCTGGCCATGGGGACACATCTGCTGGGGCATAATCAATGCCTAGAGGTGGATTGCTCTCTGATGGGGCAGCTGCATCTCCCAGGATGGGGCAAGCTCAGCTCCCAGTCTCTCTTACTCTGTGTGCGGGGAGGGACACTTGGAAAAGGCTTGGCAAAGAGAGGGCTGGGTCAGCTGCCCCTCCCAGGGCTGGACAGGCACGGTTGGAGCTCATCTCCCCCATTTTTCCCCTCCAGCCCCTCGGAGAGCGGGAGGATGAGCAGTACAGCAGGCTGGCACCCACCCGGGCCCGCAAGTGAGGTGGAGCCTGTGACTCCATCAGCACGCAGGCTCTGCCTGCAGATCACCCCTGCTCCCTGCCAGGTTGGGCTACTTGTGGCACTGTGCTCATTCCATGACCTCCTGCACTTCTGTATTCCTCTCATTAAAGATGAGCCTCTCCCACAGCCTCCCTGCTCTGTCCCTTCTGTCGAGGGCCCTGGGGAGGGTACCCACTGGATGGAATCTGATCACTGGGAAGGTGTCCACTGGATGGGATGTGGTCCCTGGGAAGGTGCACATTGGATGGAATGTGGTCCCTGCGAAGGTGGCATGCTGGTGCTCCCCAGCTCTGAGCAGAAACAGCAAGTGTGTGGTCAAAGTGGGAGGCAGACACCAGCCAGGATCAGCCAGCAGTTGGAAACCTCAGAAACCAGGTCCCCCTCCCTGTGCCAGTTGCACACACCTGTAGGTTGTGTTTTCCTGCTTTTCTCAGAACCTGGGTGCCAGGCTTTAGAGGGGACCAGGCTGAGAAGTGCCCCGTGACTCAGGCAATCCAGTGGTCAGGGGTATAAAGGAAGCAAAGAGGTAACACTCAGTGAAAACTGCCCCCCAAATCTGTGGCACGTGTGGCCCAGCAAACAATGCGTCGTCTGTGCAGAGCTGTGGGTGCTCCACAGGTGCCCTTACAGGGATCAGCGTGGGATCACTGGCTGGTCCTGGGGCAAACACAGGGCAAATCTGCACGTTTATGCACCCCACAAACAGTGGCAGAAGCACCAGGGTGGAGCCTGAAGCAAAAATTTAGACCTTGTATGCCCGGAGTGGTCCAGGCTTCCCCCACCCCATCCATGGAATGGGCTGCACGGCTGGGCTGAGCAGGCACTCTGGAGCAGTGCTGTTTTGCAGGAGGTGAGAGCATGGCCCAGAGTGGTTTCAGAGCTGCTGGGGGTTAGTGCTCTCTGTATCTTGCCATCTCCCTGCTGGCTGCTCAGAGCCTTGTATGGTAAACCCAGCTGGGCCTCTCAAACCGCATCCTGGGGCTGAGCACAGCGAGCAGCTCACAGGGCTTGCTGGGTGTTTACCATCTCCCACACTGAAACTCAAGGGTTAAACCACCCCCAGCTCCCATCAGTGCTGCTGTTTCCTTTCCTCAGAGCTGTTGCTCTGCTGGGTACCAGCACCGTGGGTGGCTCTGGTATTAGACCAGAAACGTTCCCAGGCACCACAGCGTCTCTTGGGCCCTTCCCAACCTGTCCCACTGCTGCTGTGCCATTCTGGCTTTAATGTACTGATGCCTCTGCTCCTTTTGCTGCAGTCCCAGGCAGCAAATGGAGATAAGGCTGTGAACATGAGATGTAGACAAGGTCAGAGGCCAAACACTCCGAAGGACCCACTCTCTGCCCAAGGAGGCACAGGGGGGAAGTGGAGGCACTCAGGGCAGAAATTAAATGGAAGGGACAACCAGAGTGTGCAAGTGGAGCAGAGAGGAGTGGGGAGGGAAAAGGAGGCCAGGAAGCATGGCTGAGGCTGCAGCTCTTTAATGGGAAGGAAAACTTCTCTTGCCAATTGCACGTTTCTGTTCCTGGGGTCAAACCAAAGCACACACCAGGGTGGGACAGCGGGTGCCTGACCTGGCTTATCCCAAAATGCCTCAGCAGAGCTGCAGAGCTGGCACTGAGCTGGGAAGCAGCGTTTAGCCCCGGTGCTGCTGGCTTCCATGGCTGCCAGCCGGCAATCCTGGGAATTTCAGAACCCCCTGGGTTCCAGGCCTGCATACACTTCCCGTTGGCCTTTCCGGATCGGCTGTGGGACGGAAAAAGATGTTAGTCTGGGAATCTTTATCTTAGTCCACGCAACACACTGGGAAAAGCACAGCAGAGCAGGTGCAGTGCTGCTGTGTGGTGTGTGCAGAGCACAGGGAGCTGCAG